ATTTTACACTGCATCCATAGCGTGTAGTAACAATGGGCTGCGCATATTCGACAGCTCCCAGTCACTTGGTTGTACCTCATACAATGAGCTAAAGAAGGTGGCTCCAAAGGGTGCAGGTTGAATATGGGAATAAGATAAGATATATATTAAAAATCTTTTTATTTGCCCGATTCGAGATAGACACTGCAAAAGCTTGGCTCTTATATACCTGGAATGAGTGATTATTAGGCTTTCTTCTACGCGAAATACTCAAATTGTTACATAACAAATACGGACACAGTACGTAAGGATCTATAAGTAATTGCGCATCCATTATATTATATAGTTCAGATTATGGCGGGCTACGAGGTCAATTGTACTTAGGAGGCAATTCAGACCACTTTTAACTAATTTAATGTAGAAAATTGACCAATATCCCACAGAAGGCATTTATAATAACCAAATAATATGCGGACTACGCTCCTTCTTGATTTGAGGCACAACTAATGGAGTTAATTAAATGTACAACTCAATTGAATACTCAATAGTATGTAGTTAGAATGATACCCTGTAATAATCCCACTGTGGTTGATTAAATTTACACAATTTAATGCCAAGAATAGTAAGTTCATTTAAGTTACCTTAGCTCCACGTATCTGCAAAGCAAACACGAATCCCCAAAGGCTGCCCATTTTTGTAAATCTAGTCAGCAGATCTCATATTTTAATTTCGTTCGCATTTCTGCTGAGGTAGGAGAATTTTTAACTTTAGTTTACTCTGGATGCTAAGGCTTTTTGTGTAAAAAGTGAGAGAAAGACTTTATTTATTATTCTTTTAGAAATGTATTTTTTATGGTAAACTAGCGTATATACTTTTTAATGAGAAGAAATGCTGTTGCGTCTTTCAGCAAATTTGTTTCACTTCTACGCTCAAATAACTTTTTAAATTTCATTCACTGGATTAATAACTGAAATAAATACATATTCACCTCAAGCAAGCTATTATTGGAAGATATCATAAAAAGGGTAGCACTCATGCGTAAATAAATAAAATTGTTTTCAAGTAGATTAATCGAATATTGTCCTACCAAAGAAGTTTGAGGTCTAATAATTATTTCTGTCTTCCTCTCTTCCGTAAACTCTTGGTGTAGATGTGGTACGACAATCGTGTTGCGTGGGATAAAGATAGTTATTCGGGCATCAGCGTTGTCAATATTCCTTCAAAGTATATCTGGCTACCCGATGTTGGCGTCATGAATGGCAAGTCCAGCACCTCTTTCGATTTCAGTTCGACAAGCCAATCAAGAATCGTGATTAATCATAGAGGCGTGATAACGTGGATGCATGGTGCTATTCTAGATGTCACCTGCCCTCTAGATGTCTCTTATTTCCCATTTGACGAACAGATTTGCCACATTGTTGTGGCTCCTTGGCACAGCACCTCGGACAGCCTAAAAATTCGTACAGTTCAAGATGGACCAGTGGTTGATAACTCATTCCTACCTAACTCAAACGTCAGTGAATGGGAAATTCAAGATGTGAATGTTACCAATAACACGTATTTGAGCTCTTTCAACTCCGAATACAATTATATAACTATCAATATCTGTCTTCGTCGCCAGCCCCTGTATTTCATCATCCTTGTGCTTGTACCCTTTGCCATGCTTTCTGGTTTAGCATGCCTAATTTTTATTCTGGATGAGACTGGCGACAGACTGTCTGTCGCACTATCCCTTGTCCTCAGCATGACTATGTATGTGGTTATAGTATCTTCAAATGCTCCTCGTTCAATGCGAACCCTACCAGTGCTCGGTTAGTCTACATATCAGTGTACATATGTGTGAATTTTACATTTATGAAATCGATACATGCTTTTATATATCGACTGATTTCATTTTTTGTCTACATTAAAAGATGGGCTCAAACGAATTAAATATTATATAAGTTCGCCTAGTCTTCTAACACCCCTTTACGACAAACAGTAGATTAAAATACAGAATTTTAGCAAAAGTATTTTCGGCAGCTTACACTGATAACACATGCTAGCTATTTCCGTAACATGCCGTTATCTTGGAAACACGCTATCAGCCGTTTTTTATTCAGGAGCACCTGATTACCTTTCACTTATTGACACAAAGCAAAGAAAATAAATTTACGAGGAGGCCATTTTAGTTAAATGGCAAGAGTGAGTGCAGTTCCGCCATTCGAATTTTATTTTTACTCAGCAGACATAAAGGTTTGGCCCTTATCTGTACACTTTTAGCTAGCATCCATATCTAAGTATGCTAATTTTCTTTAAGTATCTGATAATTTCTTGATTGATTCATCTTAGTGTTCAATTTTTTTTAGTACGAATCGTAGAAAGCTTATGAAATGTTTTACTTGGGAATCTTTAGAATGGGCCATAACGATGATAATCACAGTTATGAATTTATTGAGAATCATTGATAAAAATAAGAATACATAGTCTGAAAGTTCTAGTTGTCTTATAGTCACTACACTGATTAAAATTCGTAATTCTTGTAGGTAATTGAGCAAACATGTATATTTAACACTATATTACAACTCGTCAAAGAGACAAGTGAAGCCGATCCTTTGACCAAACGTGTGCACTTATTTAACTTTATTTATAAGTCTATCGAAAATGTTTGAGTAATGTTTAATAAAATGTGAGCATACTGGTTGTCGAAAGACTTCTCTTCCTTGAGATATTAGCAGGAGGTACATTGTTCTCTTACATATTGTTACAAATGAACCAGTTACTTTTAGTCCTTCCCATGGAAATATCGGTTTACTGTCCTGAATTTTTATTGCATACT